TGCCCGGACAAGTCTGTGAACGTTTTACCGGTAGCTTCCATTAGGGGACGTGATCAATCTCATGTGGTGGTAGTGCTGGTGGTAGGTGGGGATGATGGGACGGGGTGGTGATGGGATGGGTGGTAAGTTCTGGTGGTGGGGAAAATCTTACACCGAAAAGAGCTTATTATGTAACCATACATCAAACGACAAGACCTCTGGCCTAGATCTAGATATATATATATATATATATATATATATATATATATATATATATATATATATATATATGTGTGTGTGTGTGTGTGTGTGTGTGTGTGTGTGCGTGATTCTTTCGATATGGGGAGGGGAGCAAGAAGCATGTCCACCGCTCTCCCCGAGGGAGCAAACTGTCAAAAAGGAACCCTGAATACTAATGACTGCCCATAATTAACTGGCAGACAATCAGCTGTTGAGAAACCGGACACGTCCACGGACACGTGTGACGCAGTATCTGGACATTACACCAGGACCAGAGGCCACCGTTTCGCAGAATTACACGACGTAAATAGCACAAACCATTATTTTTTGCCCTGTCACTCTTGCGGTTTTGTGAAGACTTATCCTGTTCGAAGAAAACGTTCGAAGAAAACGTAGCATTTATTATTTAAAAAATCGTTCAAAGTACTATTTTTTAAATAATAAACGCCGTTTTCTTCGAACAGGAGAAGTCTTCACAATAAGTAGGCTACGTGTGTAGACGTTTATGTTCTTAACGTTGACTATGTATAATTCGATATGGCAGAATTTTAAAAATCCTCTTTTTGCCTCCCCCCACCAACCCCCCCCCCCCCCCCCCCCCCCCCCCCACCAATATTGCTACGTCCCTGATTTTAAACAGGAAATATAAAATGAACATTTTCTACTACCAGCATAAAATCCTGTTTCTTGGAAAATAAATAAACGATATGTAGTAATAAAATATTTTGTATGAATAGACTAAAAATTGTTTGAATAAATGAATTGGTTTTGTCGACATTAAACGGCGCACTACCGCAATAAAATTAAGCGACCGTGCAGCGTACCAAGAAATAAACGAGAAACTTAAATATTTTCCGTGCCGCTTTTAGTTGAGACCGCTACTCGACATAACTATGTGATGGAACCTTGGCCAAATAGGTGATTGAACCTTGGCCAAATATGTGATTGAACCTTGGCCAAATAGGTGATTGAACCTTGGCCAACTGAGTGATGGAACATTGGCCGAATATGTGATGGAACCTTGGCCAAATAGGTGATGGAACCTTGGCCAAATAGGTGATTGAACCTTGGCCAAATAGGTGATTGAACCTTGGCCATCTGAGTGATGGAACATTGGCCGAATATGTGATGGAACCTTGGCCAAATAGGTGATTGAACCTTGGCCAAATAGGTGATGGAACCTTGGCCAAATAGGTGATGGAACCTTGGCCAAATAGGTGATTGAACCTTGGCCAAATAGGTGATGGAACCTTGGCCAAATAGGTGATTGAACCTTGGCCAAATAGGTGATTGAACCTTGGCCAACTGAGAGATGGAACATTGGCCGAATATGTGATGGAACCTTGGCCAAATAGGTGATTGAACCTTGGCCAAATAGGTGATGGAACCTTGGCCAAACAGGTGATTGAACCTTGGCCAAATAGGTGATTGAACCTTGGCCAAATAGGTGATTGAACCTTGGCCAAATAGGTGATTGAACCTTGGCCAAACAGGTGATTGAACCTTGGCCAAATAGGTGATTGAACCTTGGCCAAATAGGTGATTGAACCTTGGCCAAACAGGTGATTGAACCTTGGCCAAATAGGTGATTGAACCTTGGCCAAATAGGTGATTGAACCTTGGCCAAATAGGTGATTGAACCTTGGCCAAATAGGTGATTGAACCTTGGCCAACTGTGTGATGGAACCTTGGCCAACATGCAATTAGCAGAATGCTTTAAAAGGTCTACACTATATAGCTAAAAGGCTGGTGTCCCCAGATCCTAAGATCTAACCATCTTATGGGTAGGGTGACCAGGGGCAGTGTAGTTAGTTCACACAGCATTATAGAATAACATTAAGGTAGGCTAGAACAAGGCAGTTCTACCAGTTTAAAAAAAAAAAGCTCTTGAATAAACTTTGTCGAATGCAGGAAGCCATAAACAGCGCTAAATGTTTTTTTTTTAAACCTCTATCAACCAGTCTATAAAAACAGACTATCAAGGTTAGACTGACACACGATTTCTTCCTGAATGACAAATGTAAGATACAGACAGCATCCGTTATGTATTGACGTGTGGGATATGAAGGAGCACGTTCCTTGTGGTATTAGGTCAGTACGGATGGCTTAGTCCTAACACAAACACTAAAAGGATCACCGCTTTGTATCCTTGTTGTTGTGGGAATTTAATGAAGGGAGGGGTAAGTGGCCTGGGTGACTCTTACTTAAGACAGTTGTACAGGAACAGAAAAGGTGGGATGGGATCAGGGAGAAGGGATGGGACCAGGGTGTAGGGATGGGATCAGGGAGTAAGGATGGGATCAGGGAGTAGGGATGGGATCAGGGAGTAGGGATGGGATCAGGGAGTAGGTTTGGGATCAGGGAGTAGGGATGGGATCAAGGAGTAGGTATGGGATCAGAGAGTAGGGATGGGATCAGGGAGTAGGGATGGGATCAAGGAGTAGGTATGGGATCAGGGAGTAGGGATGGCATCAAGGAGTAGGTATGGGATCAGGGAGTAGGTATGGGATCAGGGAGTAGGGATGGCATCAAGGAGTAGGTATGGGATCAGGGAGTAGGTATGGGATCAGGGAGTAGGGATGGAATCAGGGAGTAGGGATGGGATCAGGGAGTAGGGATGGGAAAAGGGAGTATGGATGGGATCAAGGAGTAGGGATGGGACCAGGGAGTATGGATGGGATCAGGGAGTAGAGATGGGAGTATGGATGGGATAAGGGAGTAGGGATGGGAGTATGGATGCGATCAGGGAGTAGAGATGGGAGTATGGATGGGATAAAGGAATAAGAAATGGGAGTATGGATGGGATAAGGGAGTAGGGATGGGAGTATGGATGTGATCAGGGAGTAGAGATGGGAGTATGGATGGGATAAGGGAGTAGAGATGGGAGTATGGATGGGATAAGGGAGTAGGGATGGGAGTATGGATGCGATCAGGGAGTAGGGATGGGAGTATAGATGGGATCAGTCAGTAGGGATGGGATCAGGGAGTAGGGATGGGATCAAGGGGTAGGGATGGGATCAAGGGGTAGGGATGGGAAAGGGGGTATGGATGGGATCAGGGGGTAGGAATGGGATCAGGGTGTAGGGATGAGATCAGGGAGTATGAATGGGAGTAGGGATGGGATCAGGGAGTAGGGATGGGATCAGTGAGTAGATATGGGATCAGGGAATAGGGATGGGATCAAGGGGTAGGGATGGGATCAGGGAGTAGAGATGGGAGTATGGATGGGATAAAGGAATAAGAAATGGGAGTATGGATGGGATAAGGGAGTAGGGATGGGAGTATGGATGTGATCAGGGAGTAGAGATGGGAGTATGGATGGGATAAGGGAGTAGAGATGGGAGTATGGATGGGATAAGGGAGTAGGGATGGGAGTATGGATGCGATCAGGGAGTAGGGATGGGAGTATAGATGGGATCAGTCAGTAGGGATGGGATCAGGGAGTAGGGATGGGATCAAGGGGTAGGGATGGGATCAAGGGGTAGGGATGGGAAAGGGGGTATGGATGGGATCAGGGGGTAGGAATGGGATCAGGGTGTAGGGATGAGATCAGGGAGTATGAATGGGAGTAGGGATGGGATCAGGGAGTAGGGATGGGATCAGTGAGTAGATATGGGATCAGGGAATAGGGATGGGATCAAGGGGTAGGGATGGGATCAGGGAGTAGGGATGGGATCAGGGATGGGATTAAGGAGTAGGAATGGGATCAGTGACTAGGGATGGTGTAAGGGAGTAAGGATAGTGTTAAGAAAGCAGGTATGGGAACAGGGAGTAGTGGAATATAGTTATTTAATCCACTGGACTAGTATATGAGTTGTTCAAAAGCTAATCCACAGTTGACCTTGTTTATTCATGTTATGCCATATAACAAAGTTCATAATGCTAGTCTCATACCCTGCCACAAATTGCACTAATGATGAAGCACTTGATTTCTAACCCAGCTCTTATTTACTTTTACTCATTTATAGTGAGCAAACCAACACTACGAAGAAGGTGAAGCTGATTAGCAAACACCTACAACATTACTTCAATGCTTTATTTAAAACACAATCTTTAACATACAGTGTAACAGTACAGGATGCACAGAATAAGGAATAACTTTGGACAACTCAAGTATTGCACCTTTTGAATAACCTGACAACTGGAGTGGAACCAGATTCATTGGAAAACCAGGAAAGACTAGTAGGAGAAGATCCGTGAAGATAGAATCTTAAGCAGGAACATGTCATGGCCAAATAGCTGAGAATTTGAACCACTAGGAAAAGACTAGGAGAACATCAATGAAGATAGAATCTTAAGCAGGAACATGTCATGGCCAAATAGCTGAGAATTTTGAGCCACTAGGAAAAGACTAGGAGAACATCAATGAAGATAGAATCTTTCTTAAGCAGGAACATGCCATTTCCAAATAACTGAGAATTTGAGCCACTAGGAAAACAGCTTCAGCTCTCTTTTGTTGGGTAGGAGAGGAATATAAGGAGAGTAGGATTTCATAATCATATCATAATTGTCATGAGTTACTTCAATAGGGTTTAGAGTAAAGAAATGTTGTGTATATAGTCTACACCTTTATTTTTAATGGCCACATGTCTACAACAAGAAGCCAATGAATTTGAAAGGTTGTATTTTTAAATTTGATTCATTTCTGCAATAAAGTCATATTCAGTTACTATCCTAAATACAAGATTTAAAAAAAAAAACGTAATATGATCATGATGATATCATTGTTTCCATTCAACTCCAGTGAGCAATAAAGAAAGTGATGAAAAAAGAACTCCTACCTTATGTCGACCTAGGTAAACAATGGCACTAGCCCCTCTCCCAAGTGAATCGGCTGTATTCCATGTGTAGTTCTCAGAGCTCACCAGAGTGCCTGTTACCCAACCAAAACAATGGATTGTATTCAGCATGGTTCTGTTATTTAATTTATTCAGTACAGTTCTATCATTCCCAGTTCTATCATTTGCAGTATTGAGCACAGTTCTGTTATTCACAGTATTCAACATAGATCTATCTTTCTCTGAATTAATCATAATTCTATCATCAATTAGTTAGCATAGTTCTATTACTTATAAATAACAGTATTCAGTGTAGGTCTATCACATATAAACTACTGTAACTGTACTCAGCATAACTCTATCATTCTCTGTGTTCAGTATAATAGTATATTTGTACCACTTAAAAATAACAGTATTCATCATAGGTTTATCAGATATAAAAAACAGTACTCAGAATAGATATATCATTCTCTATATTCAGTATAATAATATAATTGTATCATTTATAAATAACAGTATTCAGCATAGTTCTATCACATATAAACTACAGTACTCAGCATAGTTATATCATTCTCTGTGTTCAGTATATTTCTATCACTTATAAATAACTGTATTCATTACATTCTACCATTCAATGTATTCAGCAGTTAATTTATTAAAAATTTCCTCACAAACATGAATAATATTTTAACAGCTGTTGAGAAAGGTGGAGGTGGACAGGATGTTAAAACTAATAAAAATGATGTGTAGCAATGATTAATTTGGCTATAGGACACAAATAAAGTAGCTTCCTTCCTTTTTTACTACACACAACACCAATTGCCACATAACATCAATGGGGAGAGGAAATTTAAATTCATTCTAACATTTTGATTTTGAGACAAAAAAAATTGCCCATCCTAACCATGCATTTGAAGAAGTATGTTTTAATTTGTCCAGGAAATACATTTTTATATATACCAACTTGATAGGATAATTTTATACTGGAGGTAATATTGAATTAACCAAACAAAACAAAAAGTAGCATGTTACACTGGTTAGACTACTCTTACATTACTTCTTTGAATCAATAGTCTTAAACTTAATAAGATGATAAAGAATATGTTTGTTACAATTACTTCTTAGAAAAAATAACTTCAAACAAGAGAATATGTATGGATAGTTCAACAATGGCTTGGACTAGGTACATGTGTAATAATCTCCTCGTATGGCTATAATTGATAGCTAACACGAGCTTCTCGAATTTGAGTCCCAGGTTAAAGTCTATAGGATGCCCCTGGGTCTACTCTTCACTGACAGGTACCTGACTTGTTTGGCAAACAAAGTAGGCTGACCACACTATTCTTTCATGACTAGGTAATTGAAACAAATGAGTAGATGAACTCTATTTCAACTGCCCCATGTGTCTTGGGCTTGAACAGGAAAAGATGATGATAATGGCTATACAGTAAAAAATGGAATTAAGTTACCAAAGGTAGAGTCAATCTAGATAAGTTTTCAAGATTCATCAAATAAACTAGTATGAATTTTAAAAAACACTGATGATACTCAAACATAATAATTTAATAATATTTCAATATTAATAAGATCAAAGTAACTCACCTTTAATAACAGGGTAAGACGATGTCATCTAATTGACGTGGATGCACATCAAGATAATGGTATGAAAATTCCTTCACTTCAGCAAGCAGAATAAAATGTCCCATTTAAGCAAGGGCCAAATATAAGTTTGTAAAGTATTCGATTAAAATGAAATGTACACAGAACATCCACCAAGAAAAAATATACACAGTATTTCTTTTTGAATATATAATCAATAAAAAAATATATATCGATACAACTTTCAAATACTATAGCAGTTCCAATAGTTATATAGAAAAAAATTGATAATGTAAGCTAACTGTAAGGTTATGACCCGTTATAAAAAAAATAAATCTAATTTAAAAAACTACTTCAGGTGACAGGCTCCTCCTATTTGTTCTATGTTTGTTTTACTAAACTATTTGTAAAACAATACACTATTAGCATTTCACTCCACAATAGTAACTGTTTCCGTAGTCCTAGCGGCCTAACAAGATGCCGGAAAATGGGATCATTCAATGTAAAGTGAATATCACCGTAGTTTCTCATTAGCCTCATGTGGCTAGTTATTGTCAATGGTGATTGCTGTGCCTTAAAATACATAAGGCCCAATCTATCACTTGTCCCTTAACAGATATCATCGCAAAGCTGGGATGCTGAAAAATAAAAAAAAGATAAGTTTTCAATTCAAACAATTTCTAGTTTAGTCCATATCACAGAAATAATTTTTAAATATATTTATTCATTCACAAAAATTAAAATAATAGCTCTGTATTACTCAACTATACCTATATAATATTAGTATAGAAATATATTTTAAAAATTGTAAGTTTAGGCTTTAGGTATATTTTTGCTATCATTAACGACGTTATGGTAAGCATTATTAAAAATAGAGGAGAAAAGGTCACGTTCACATACCCTAGTTTTTATCTAAATCTAAACCACAGTGAAAATGCCAGTGGAAATATGAGAAATGTAATTAATTACAGATTATAGGATTTTAATTATCCAAGCTATTACTCTCTTAATTAAAATTATTTCATTTTTTTAAAATGGGTAAAACAGGAATCCTCCTTTATTTTCATCTAACACTATTTATTTGAAATTAATAAATAGGCTCTAACTGGTAATTTTTAAATTGATAGGTCTAGGGCCTAGATTTAGATCTAGTTGAAGTTGGTTGGGGAAGGTTAAGGTTTAGATGCTGGTTATGAATTAGGGGTCATCAACAAATGACGTCATGCTTTTTTTGATGATTCCCCCCTCCTCCGTCACACATTGTCACAAAAAGCCAGACCCCCACCCCTTCTAAAATGATGTCACACCTTAGCCTACAACCCCCCCTCAAAATTGCAGTTGAGTTTTTCTTAAAACAACGATATCTTTCCAAAATCTTGTCTGAACCCTGTCATCATAGAGTATTTTAATCATTCCTATTACAATTTATTAAAATAGTTTTCTAAAACGCGAAACAACAGCTAAAACCTGTTTTTTAACATTGCTTTTTTATAATGCGAAAGTGTGACGTCACAATCTGAACCCCCACATCACACACCATCAAAAAATTACAGACCCCCCCTCTCACCCCTACGAGTGTGACGTCATTTATGGACGACTCCTAAAAGTTTCCTTTAGTTTTTGCATGATCATTCACATTTAGACTAGATACTATGCCTAGCTAATAGCTAGCTGTACAATGCTATAAAAATTCTAGATCTAGTGACCTAGTCTAGATCTAGAATCTTTTTTACTACTTTACTTTAGTCTATCTAGATCTAGTAGTAGTGTGTTTAGGTCTAGGAGTCGAGTTGACTTACTCTTAACTTCAACTCTTAAGTAAGTCACTTCTTGTTGTACGTACACTGTACGTACAAAAAAACATAGTACATAGTCTAGATCTAGATTAGATCTAGATCTAGATCTAGTCTAGAAGTCTAGATCTAGAGATCTACGACGTTTTTACACATCTAGTCTAGATCTAGATATTTTTATAATTCATTTTAGCTTTAGGTCCCGCTTAACCTTTTAATTATAACCTAACCTAATGACATGAGGAGTAATCAATGTCTATTAATTTCAATTTTTAATGTACCATTTTTGTTTGTAAGTTCGTGTTTCATAACCGGCAAACATCTCTGCTTCTCCTAAATTTTATTTTATTAGAGTAGCCACCCCTTAATCTTGACTATTACAAAACTAAAATTATGTAGGCCTACATTGTTTTAAACTAATTTATACACTAGTCTCTAATAATTAGACATACTAGATCTAGAACTAAATATTAATAGCTCAAAAATCATTTTTTCTATTAATCAATTAATTTAATGCTTTATATACTTTATATTAAAAACAAGAGTAAAAACAAATGCCAACGCTTTAAAGTAGACCTAGATCTAGATCTGTAGCTTTTAGCTTTTTCTGGAAAAATCCTTGAAGTGTGGATTATAGCCTGGTGATATACTATATAGGCTAGGGCCTATAGTTCTAATATATGGTTCGAATAATAAACATTAAACTCAATGGTATCTAGATCTATAGTTTGTTTGATTAAAAAAAGCATTCAAATATTATCAGGACCGATGTTTGTGTGGTTTGTGGGGGGATGGGGGGGGGGGGGGGTGGGGGGGGGGGAGAGAAATAGAGATGAGAGTTCAAGAAATGTTAATGTGTGCACGATCCCTCAAGCATACCTACAGGTATATTAATATCTTTAATGAGAGGTCCATTTATGACGTCTACCTTACCCCTTAGAGTTTTTAAAGACATTTTTCTCCGGATGGGCGGGAGGCACTTAAAATTACTGGGGGTCTGACTGTTAGAGTGTATATTTTCTACATACATGTTTTTTTTTTTCTGTTTCGTCCGGGGTTGGGGCGGTGAACGTGCTCCTGGAGACAGCGCACCCCCCCCCCCCCCCCAAAAAAAAAGAAACTCTTCTCAAATGGCGCCGAGCAGCAAGATTTTATTTTAAATCCCGAAATGCAAGTTTCTATTCACAGTTGTTGCGGCCCTTATTTGACATTGTATAGATCAGGTCTCATTTGCAATGCTGTTACAGCTATATTTTAATTTTTTCTTTCCGCTTTTCATTTAAAATACTTCATTACCCGGTAATACATACGTTTTGGTTTCACTTAGAAAAAGATGTTCATTAAAAATAAAAATAAGGCGGCAGGGCATAGTGCTGACCACACTATCTCTTCATATTCCGAGGTCACAGAAACAAGCGAACTCTACTTCACTTTAACTATACTTTACTTTTACATCATAGATTATTTTTTATTTTAACGCTTTTCATTTATTTTTCCGTCAACATTCCAGCTTCTATATTTCCGTAATGAATACATTAATTTATTAACTATTGTGTTGTTCTTTTCTACAAGAATCATTTTATTTATAGATTTTATATATAAGATAAAAGTTTTAAGAGAACTGTAAAATTGTCTGGACCTCCACAAAAGAAGACAAGGGTTGGAATTGGTCATCATCCATTGAGGAGGTCCTCAAAAGAAGAAAAAAACAACGAGACATACTCCCCCATTGTCCATACCAATCAACTTAAGACCCCCCCCCCCCCGACACACACACACACACCCTGCAATGAAATTAATTTTCCTCTAAAAACTTGCTGGACTTGGTTTCATTTAACCACGGGCACTAGAGTTTAAAAGTAGACAATACGTTTTGTGTGCAGATTAAATTCTTGGGTGTGCTGTGATGTGTCAGATTTTTATGATAAATTTAGCAAAATAGACGTCCACATCGACCTGACACCACCCCCCCCCCCCCCCCTCCTTCCCTCAAATCCACACGCTAACACAATAAAGTGCACTCCCCTTCCTGCTCTTTATTCGTGTGTGGGAGGGGGGGGGGGGGGGGTCCGCTAAGTGAATGCTAATGTTCAGAGAGAGAGAAAAAAAAAGGTAAAATTTTTCTAAAAATATTGTTTAACGTCATAAATAACGAGTCATATTCATCTACTCATGAACGAGAACTGAGTACCAGCTCTCATTAGTGCAGGTAGTTGTTATGGCTTTTGATTTTAGATGTACCTATACAATCGGATGAAAAAATAAAATAAAATTAAATCTGGTATTCGCTTTGTACGAAGGGCAGTACACACACACACAAACAACTAAAAAGTTCTTTACAGTGTTTCTTTCAAGCATCCCCCCTCCCCCACCGAAGAAAATAAATCGACCGTGCAATGTTGAAAGGCTGGTGAGCATTTACGACTCACGTCACCTAATTAATTGGAGATTGGTGGTTAAAGAGTGATGTCATTAACGACAGGAAAATCCGAAAATAAGTTCATTCTCTAATTCTTTTTAAGTCTAAGTTTAAAGATTATTATCCTCCGTTAAGTTGTGCTGGTTTTGTAAAAAATCGATAGTTGGGAAATTTCTGATATATATATATATATATATATATATATATATATATATATATATATATATATATATATCAGAAATTTCCCAATATATATATATATATATGTGTGTGTGTGTGTGTGTGTGTGTGTGTATGTGTATGTGTGTGTGTGTGTAATGCGAGAGGTGTTGATGATTATTGGTGCTTAGGATGCAAACATTATTTGTTCGTACCAATTTTATTTATATGCTAATTGTCTAATTAATATACTTTTCTATACCGTGTATATTTGCATATTTCTTTTAATCTGTAATTCTGGCGTGTTAAAGCAGGGGTCTCCAAACTACGGGCCGCGGGCCTGATGCGGCCCGCGAGGTCCTCTCATCCGGCCCGCGGCGATCTTTTTGTACACGGAAAAAACGTTTGTTGGTTATGGCTGAGGATCTTTGCCCAGAAAAATCAAAGACATGCCTGAAAGAAACTGGCCCCCGAACTGAAATTTGATAGTTAATGCGGCCCTCGGACTGAAAAGTTTGGAGACCCCTGTGTTAAAGCATAGAGGATCCTATTCACGACTCACGAGTGAAAAATAGGGGGGGGGGGATTATCTATTAGATTAAATTGTTCAGGGTTTAACAATGCCTATTTAATCTAATATTTTATAAGACCGAATAAACTATTATTTCTAATTTATCGATTTTTTTTCTCAATGCTTTTTAACTGTGATATAAATCAATGCTGTGATAATTGTCTATAATTGTCGCTAATGTGCTCAAGATCATGAAGAATACGAATTAAATTGAAATGGTGGACTATGATATATATTAATAATTAATTAGTGTAAAATAAACGTAATCGTTCGCTGTATTTTGAAAACTTAATTCTAGGCATAAAACTATCTTAAAGTAAAGAAATTAAATAGCTAATTAATGAACGCATTTTTATATCAGTAATTAAAAAAAAAAAGCTGTCCATGATAACGATAGATTACTATCATGTTCTAGTAAAGTTCCCTTTTCAAAACTGACGGCCCATGAGGCCAGTGAAGTAGAGTTCAGCTGTTTCTCTGACCTCGGCATATGAAGGGATAGTGTAGTCAGTACTATGCCTTCCCTAACGTGAGTTAGATACCCGTTAGAGCTAGATGGACTTAGTGACGTTCAACTGACTTGAAACGGATTTCAACTCGAGACTTTCGGGTTAGCAGTCTAGTGCTCTACCGCTTGGCCACGCCATTCTATCATGTTCTAGTTAGGCCGATATGGTAGTGGTACAGCTTACACAT